AAACAAAAGACAAAATAACAGTGGAATAGCTAACATAAAATTGCATGAACTATATATTGGATATAAAAACTACTTGAATTGAAGCAGTAAATGTCTTGGTATGATTAAGTGATGACTGATTTCATTGGAATGTATATAGTGATTGTGTAGTTTTATAGTAGAATACCTATATGTATATCTGTATAGTAGAATAAGATGAATGATGAGATTGTTGTGATTTTGACTGCACTCCTCACGTCTGCTGCTGAAAGTCCTGTTGAAATGCTGTGAATGCTGCAGGGCAGAAGAGTGCTGGAGCTGCAGTGTGTTTTCTCTGTGTTTGTGAATGTGTTGTGTTTGTCTCCTGCAGCTGGTCCCACAGTGAAGCCCTCAGTGTCTCTGCTGCCGCCCTCTTCTCTGCAGATCTCTGGAGACTCAGCCGCACTGCTCTGCCTGCTCAGCTCTTACTCTCCACAGGGGGCGCTGGTGAGCTGGACACTGGACGGCTCAGAGGTCACCGAGGGGGTTGTGACCAGCGCAGAGAGCGAGCAGAACGGCCGCTACAGCCGCAGTAGCGTCCTGACCCTCAGCAAAGCACGCTGGGAAGAGGGAGAGCTGTACGTCTGCAGAGTAACACATGATGGAGCTCCTCATGAGGCCTCGTTCCACAAGAGTCTCTGTTAGTCGCTCGCAGTGCTGATGTTTCTCCAGTGAGCGCTGCTCTCTCCTGAAGATGAGCGTATCTGAGTGTCCTGTTTCAGGCAGGATTCATATGATTTACAACTCAATACTGAAAGAGAGCTCTAGTGTCAAAGCACTGGCTGATCTTTCAATCTGCTGTGTTTGCTGCAACATTCAATAAAGCTTCTCAACAAGCTCCATTTGTGTCTGACAACATCATTCAACTAACAGATGAAGATGCATGTAGTATTTGTCCAGGCAGGGGCGTAGATTACGCGGGGTACGAGGGGGACGTGTCCCCCCCACTTTTAATATCACATAAATTCATCCCCCGCACTTTTTCGGGCAAGTGTGTTCGCATAGAGGTTTTCAAGAGCCGGTGTGAATAAATATAGATTTAAATTCAAAGAGACCGGATAGTCTGTGCATGACCTGGTGTTTTATTCGGACCCAGAATGAGGCGAGATGAACATCGCGGAGCGCTAAACACTCATGCAGTGTATGCTTCATTCATACTCGAAGCCGAGGGCGCTCTCGCTCAGGAAGTCGTACGAGGAAATGGACAAAAGCGTCCAGCTATTGCTGTATGAAAACTGTTGTTTTCACAGAAAATAGAAACGTTTGGAAACATGAAGACATTAAACATGATTGCGACAAT